AAAGATAAAATTTAAAATAATTATTTTTAATTATAAGTATTAATAAAATTAGTTTTTTCTATAACAAACCTCAATTGATGTGCTATTTAAAAAAATCTAAATAATAAGTATGATCTCAGTCAATATCGCTTCGTTTCTTATAAAAAACTACAATTCGAATCCTTGAAACTAGCTGAATCCAATGAGCTAATATACATTGAATATCAATTGAGATATTTACGATTGATTTTGAAATTGGATTCCTTTAATTAGAATTTATTGAATTATAATTTTAGCCGATAATTCAATCATGATTATCTCGAGACTGGATCAATATATATTAGCTCATTGGATTCAGCTAGTTTTAAGAATTCGAATAGTAGTTATTTTATGAGAAACGGAGCAGTATTGACTGAGATCGCACTCTTTTTATTTTTAGATATTTTAGATACTATAGAAGGTGGACAAAAGTTTTTGTACATGAACGTAACCGTTATATATTTAAAAGTCTAATAGTTCAAATTAAACCAAATTTTTATATATTATAAATACAATCTATTCCTATAACATAAAAAATTTGAGCTAATTATAATCACTAGATGCTGAGAAAATCGACATCAATGATAGTATATAAATTCTTTTTAATAATTTTTTATAATTTATATAATATATTCGTTTTCTCAACAACCTATGATTATATTTAGCTCATATTTTTTATATATTATAATATTACATTGTAATAATAATATATTAATTTTGAATCATTGGATTTTAAGATATTTATTGGTGACGATCGTATACGAAAACTTTAATTAAAATTCTCATCAACCAGTGATTAATATAACTAATAAATTTCTAATTATTTAAGGAAAAATGTGTGAAAAAGAATAAAAATTTATTCTCGATTCTTAATATTAATATAATAATAAAAATAAACATTTTATTTTTAGTAATCAACAAATTCAATATTTACCTTTTGATACTTTTTTTTTTGTAATGTTATTAAGTTCAGTCTAAAATTAGTCTCATTGAAGTTGGATCCACAGTCCAATCTCGATATAAATCAGATGGATAGGATCGTTAGTAACTCTAACGATTAATCTCATGACCACTCGTATAACCTAAGTAATAATAAATACCCTGAGAATAAAAGAATCAGAGAATCGCTCTCTCTCTAATTATTCTAATGAATAATTCATGAATCTTTTTTTTCATATACTGATTTCATAAAGTATCTTTATTATTTGCTGTATTACGTTACAACAGGTCACAAAAAGCTTATGCAAGAATCTAGTCATGATGTATTCAGAAAGGTATATACAGTATATATATATATATACACTCTCAAACTTACTATTACTTATTCTATCACTTTTATAACTTTTTTTACAGCGATTTCATCGAAATGGATACTTCATTTAATTGTTACATTTTAATACTCTCAAGCAACGATTCTAAAACATTTTTGGTTGATATTTATAAAGACAATAAGAATAGAAGATATTTCAAAAGTGATAAAGCAAAGATCACCTTAGCCAATTTCAAAGTTTCACATCTCAAGAAACATATATGTAATATATATAGTATTAAAAAAGTTGACCAATATAAAGTGAAATTCTGGAATGTTAATATCAAAGCGGAAAGGATTGAAAATAATAATATTTCTACTGAAGATGATATTACACATAAACTTGAAGGACGAAAAATGAGAGATCATGACTTGTTTAATGTGTATTTTAAAGTTGAATTAGCAGATCATAATACAATTGAAATGGGAAACATACATATTATCGCTATCATCCCCACTATTGTAGCACCCGCCAATGGTAAGTGTCTCCCAACATTTTACCTCTCAAACAAAAATTTAGCAGTAACAAAAATATCGAGTTTGGTCTGATCTCTTTTTTTTCGCGTTGTAGAGTCAACAATTTCATTAATTAAGGCGCAGCAATATAAAAGGAAATGATCAACAATATACAGTAAAAATTACAAGGAAAAGTCATATAATAAAAGGAGAAATAATCATTTTATTAAAAGAAAGAATAATACTCAGATAAATTACAGACTGAAAAGGAAGATTACACGAAACGGATAAATCACAGAAGAAAATGATTCAGATAAATTAGTTACCGAGGAAAAAGGATAATTAATTAACCGAATGGAGGGTCAAGGAAAAAGAATAATTAATCAACCGAACGGAGGGTCTTATAAAAAGACTTGAAAAAATATTTGAAAAATAACAAATTGAAGAAGTTACACGAAGATGCAAAAAGGTTACACAAAAGGCACAATCGTTGGGAATGACAAACTGGACCACACGGAAGCTTGTGTAACATAAGGTTACACATGACATCATAAACGAAAGGGAAATCAGAAGAACGGAAGTTAATAGTGATACGAAGTACGGAAGAAAGACAGAAGTACGAAAAAGTAAAAAGGAAAAATTATTATTTAAACATTGAATAAATACAAGAAAAACAAATGAGAATTAATATAACGGAAGTAAAAGTAATATAACGGAAGTATGAATTAATACAACGGAATGAAATTAAATAGTAAACAATAAACAATAAATAATAAACAATAGTAAGTAATAGTTCGGAATATAAGAAAACATTAAAAGCAGGAAAAGTGAATATTAAACATCACATAGGAAATAATTAGTTTATTCATCATGAGTAGTTACATTTAGTCACTTTTACTATGTAAATTTAGTATATA